ATGGTGTCCAGACTTACATATGGTACACCACCCACATTTTCATTTGCCTTTCTCTTTCTGGTCGAGGCACAGTCGTTCTAACCGCTTTGGGCTTGGCATGTCAGTGCTTAGAAGACATAACAAATATTGTTTTGCTGTTTTGTTTTAAATATTTTTGCGTGCAGCAGCGCTCAGCTGTCTTATTTTATTATACAGTCATGTCTTTTGCAAGACGGTAATGCAAAAAAAAGGACACTTACCAACTCCCATTTCTTATGTAGCAACAAAGCTTTGGAGCGGCCTATTCAACTGTATATGGTTTATCCTCCTAAAGCCGCACTCCTGCGCTTGAAAGCAAAAAAAACAAAAAAAAGAAGAAAAGAAAAAAAAATTTAGGCAAGTTGGTAATTAAAACCTACAAAAAAACGTGTTAATATAACTGACAAACACGCACAGAACGTCGCAAACATATCGTAAACACAATGTTGCACACCCTGCTTTTCTTAAGTTGCGAGTTAGTGTAGTGTGTAGGTATTCGTCAGATTACATTCTTTGGTCCTAGTCCCATAAAATAGAGCGTCTTGTTGGCTCTGTCTGTGCTGTGATAATGATCTTCTCGTGTAGGTAGTTCGTAGTGGTATAATGCCAGCCGCCCTGACCCACCGCCGCGAGATTGTGCGTGCGTGTGTTAAGGAGCTCTAATCTACTCGGCGGGATCAACCTTGAACAAGGGTCCGGGACAGCGGCGCCACGTGCAATTGGTCGGCTGCACGGCGCTGGGAAATTGCAGATGGCACCGCTGTCTGATACTATTCCCGTCTCCAGCAAAACGGACGGCACCTAGAGGGAAAACACTGTACTGACTCGGACAGGTCCTTTCGCGATTTATGTTCGTCTCTTGCGGCTTCCGGGATTGCATGTTGTCGGCGGTTGGTGCCATGAAACAGTTATTCCGGTTACTCTGTTGTTATTGTTGTGTGAGCGTGTTGCTCAGGGCACCTTGAACACAACCTAGACAACCGCCTGACCCGGACATTGTGCGTGCGTTTGTTGATCTTCATCAGCGCGGTACAAGGACAGTAGGCGGTCCTTCCGTCGCTTACGCGAAGAAGGCTAAGCCTCTGGAAGCACGCTTACGCCAGCACAGCTTCGCGGGTTTGCTACGTAGTGGGTAGATTTCGGGTAAACCAATTCACTTGAAGTCAACGCATGCCTGCTTCGACCCTGGCGTTGTGCTTTGAGTTGGCACATGGCACGACCCGAGCGTCTTTCGGTCGCAATATCTTGTTGAAACTGGCCACACCCATAGGTTTCTGGATTCGCGAATAGACGCCGGGCCCTACTGATATGTATTTCAATTATTCCATTTCCCGTTCTTTGGCACTTTTCCTTCTATATTTCCTCCCCATTCTCTTTTCAGTAACACCCTCCCTCCCCTCGACAAATGCTGAAATATTCCGAGCCTGTGAAACATGCTCCAAATTCGTGAGTCAGAACTTCCGATATACATACAACACACACAACAACAACCAGCAAAAATTACGTCCCAGCAACGCCCAGAACACCGATATTTGTCCGCCAACATATACTCTCTAATCTTTTGATCCTCGACTGATCTTTTGAGATGGTGCTTGCTCACCAACGCGTTTTTTTTTTTCTGTACCAGTCAGTGGACCCCATTTGCGAATGAGCTGGCAATCGAGGTTTGATTGCCGTGTCTGCAGGCACTGTTTGTTGTTTCTCGCTCCGGTAAGACGTGGGGAATTAGAATCCCGCTTTTAGCGACAAACATTCAAGAGGCATCGACGCTCTGCATCACAAGAGGTTGTTTTTGTTGTTTTGCACGACAGAGATTGATGACGCTCAAAGGTAGTTCAAGCATGACTTCTATAAACCAAAACTCCGGCCGTGTCGCGTTATAATTTTACGAATAGGAAACTGTCCCTCATTGACAGGGGTAAAATCTGCGGCTACGTCCACAGAACGAGACTCAATCGACGTGTGCGTTGAAACGCATCACCATAAAAATAGTCGCAGGTATACCAGACGCTGTAGCGAAAGCCAGAAAAATATTGAATGCTTTTTGTTCATCTTTACAGGTTAGTTGACGCTACCTTGGTTTTGAAGACTTCCGTAGATCTTTTCGAGGTAATGGCAAAGTTTGCAACGTAGCACGCTGTTCGTACGTGGCAAACTTTAAAATAATGATTCACTGAATTTATTTGCGTAGTAAAACTATATAGGATATAACACCCATGCCTTTTTTTACCAAGTGATTAAGTTAGCCACACATTTGAAGCAAATAAGCCTTTGAAGGCCCCCTTTTTTTAACAAAACGTATTTTTTTATGTTTGAATGCTTTGAGGCTTGTACTGGTACTGGTCGCCCGCAGCCGTGGTACAACCTGGCGTTCGTCCACAAACAGTTTTAGTATATTGTTCTGAAACCTCCATCCCCCTAATAACGACACAATGCGTGCGCATAGGCGGCGGAGGAGTATCGGGCATTGTTATCGGAGTCACGGAACGATGTACAAAAACTCTATAGTATCCGGACGCAAAATTCGAAAAACGGTTCAATGTGTCGTCCGCGCTAACTGTGTCGCAGAGTGTGCATTTAGAACTTACCGTGGTGGTCCCATTGACTGCAGTGTCCGTTCAGGTCATTTTCTGCTTAATCACAACCTGTTTTGGAGTTCAATTTAACGTACAGGGTGCGGCAGTATATAAGCTGTTCCAACTGAGGCAGCACGATAGCATGGGCCCTGAACACGTTAATCTGTTTAAAAACAAAAACAAAAAAACTTTGAAATAGAGCACCACATTTTCTATTGTCTCAGTGCGGCAGTCAGGCTCGTAGCACAGCATTTCAGACTTTGTTCATGCGGCATTTTACCCCATTCGGTTGGCACTAAACTGGGTAAGCTTGTATTGCTGCTGCTTGTATTTCTGTAGACAAATACGGGTTCCTTAGAACGTAACGTCCTTAAAAGTTTTTTTTTTTTTTTCTGCACGGAACAGTGCACAGCGAAACAATAGTTTGTTTCACTTAAAGAAAGCGTCAAGTGGTGCCTTGACTAAAAATAAACCTTCAATTTAACACGCATTTAATTCATATGTTTTTGGAATATTATACTAGAGAGGGCGTTAATTGGATATTCCCTTTTGCTCCAGACTCCTATACTTATCACACGACTACGTGCCATTCTCAACGAAGGAGCAACGGGTATAGCGTAGTCATTGAATTTAAGTAACCGATTAAAACATTAATCTTTTGTCTTGGTTTATACGTACGAAACTGTACCCCCATGTTTCAATTGAACCAACATGGAGAGTTATAGTAGATCGCTCTCACTCTCCGATAAAGATGCAAGGCAGGCGCAGGGGCATTGATGGACCATCGAGTATCGTTATCGAAGTTATTAGAACAATCTGCTGAAACTCGTCATTGAAGTGGCCCGCTTCTTCACGATTAGGTGACCGTCCACAAGGTCAATAGTGTCTCTCGGTGAAGTATTCGGCCTGTACCGCCTTGTAGGAGAGACATATCTTGTAACGCTGCACCGCTGTTTCTCAACAATATCACGAAAAAATTTGCACGTCTATTTTGTTTCAGAAAAAACAAAAAAACATTGACGTACTACCAGAGAAAACGGATGGTCAACAGTCTCGCTGTAGGTTAAAATATGTAACGCAGTGTTCTTCTTATAGTTAACGAAGAAAAGAAAACGTGTTGAAAACAATGCACACTTACAACACATAACAAAAATTATCCCAGAGTGCACGCGTGAAATCAGGGAGTTGTTTTGTTGCTCTTTCTAGAGAAGAGAGATTGAATGCTATAACGTAACTTTGTCTTGTCCTCAAAATTTTCTTTATTTTGAACAGGCTTCAAAATAGAAGTTGGCGGTGGTTCAGCCGCTTCAGCGCCATCAAAACCAGGTGAACTTGTTCGCTTACATCTTCTGGCTTCATTTACAAAAAGAACGATGATGTAAGAGGTGTTGAGCCAATCACAGCGAACCAGGCCACTAAAGTAGAAATATCGCAGCTTAAGTGTCCTGGAGGAATTCCCTTTTTACAGCAGCACAGCGTCATATCCGCAGGAAAAACAAGCCGTTTCTGGCGCACCTTTGAAATGTACTGTCTTACAGAAGAATGAGGGGAGGTACTAACAGCGTGGCGTCATTTTTATAGGTTCTAGTGATGTCTTGAATGGCGCACTGAGTATATTACCATCGTTAAAAAAATGTGAGACTTCGAGTTCAATTAGCCAAAAAAGTTATGCAGAAAGAAAAGGCTTTTTAGACGTAGGGATCGAAAATATTGTGGATGATATTTTTATAAATAGTGCAATAGCAGTTGTGTTTGGTTAGTTGGAAGAGCCTTTTTTTAACACTGTCTAAATCTCCGCGTGAGTTTAAATATAAAGAAAGATGCATATTGAACCAAAAGGTCCAAAACAAAAAACACAGAAAGAGAGCTAAACGTAGTGATAATATAATATAAAAGAGGGGTTACATTGATCGCAATGGCTGGTCTTGAACTGTGTCTAAGGGACAGCAAAAGCAGACGACTTATGAGACGCCGCATCCGGTGTGTTTTTAATTGATGGCCACACTCTACTACTCATTCCTCGTTATTTTGTTGTATCCTTCAGCGACTAAACCCCACAACATTCCCATAGACACTCCTTAACACTGTGCTCCCAATTCATAAACCAACTGCGTTCATGCTATTGAGGACCTTCCCCGGTCAAGTAGCAAACGCTGTCTGCAAGACCTAGGAAAAAAGTAAGAAATATAAAACTGGGGCGTTAGTTTCTGGCGAACAGCTTAACACTTTGGCCGCAAGGGTGGTGCTTCTGCCATGCCTCGGGCATTGTTTCAACTATCACGCACATAGCTTTGAGTTAGCCGGTGATGTCACTAGCACTGCGACTGGCGAGCACACAGGGAGGACGAGGGTCTTGGAGCTTCATGTGCACAAATGGTTATGCTTTTGGCGTTGGGACGCACTGCACTATCTTTGCAACACGACGTGAATGAAGACTCGGTATGACATCAGCGCTCCCGTGATGAGATGCAGCGACGATAGCGACCTCTCACTGAGGTTTCCCCGGGGGCCGTGCTGCATCGCTGCGGGTTTTTCCCCTGCACAAAGCAAAGCAACACAATGACAGTTACTTTAATAGTTTTAGGAAAGTTACATAAACTGGGTGGTTGAATATAGTTTATTGTTATACACGAGGCAATTGCTTGTTAGATAAGTTTACTCTCAAAAGCTTTGTCAACTGCGCAAGCGGAGGAGCCCAAGTTTTCAAGATGAAGCATCTGCCCGTTCCCCGTTCGGCAGTCATAACCTCCTCGAGATGACATGAAAACATGAGTTCATTTACATTGTATCTTAATTTAGTATATTGTCTTTTTCCTAAATACACTAGTGGACAATCCAGAGGTGATACATGCCACACAAATTCGAACCAACTAAAAATATTCTATAAATAAATATTAATGTTCCCAAATCACCAGATGCCCACCAGACTTGAGCCCGTTACTCGAAAAATGTAATGGATTACAATCACAAATTACCGAGCCTCAAATTTATTGGATAACCATTAGAAATTACTTTCGTTGAAAAGTAGTAGATTACTTTACTCGTTACTTTACAAATTACTTGAACTTTACATTTCCCGTACACCAAGAAAACATTGAAAACAATTTGGGTGCTTTCAAGAATGTTCTGTAACACTACTTTCCATTTCTCATACGCCCGCATTATTGTAATCCTTGTAAAAAATACTTTGTTTGAGAGGAAGAATCTGGGTGCAGTCCGTTCACCTGTAAGCTGTCAAGGCAACGACCACAAGCCCCATCCCGCTCGATTACGGCGACCGAAAATGATCCCTGGAATTCTGCAGACAGAGCTAGCGATGCGCATTGTCCGCGGCAGTGTCTACCTATGCTAGAAGATTGAGAGGGAAGGAACCGACCAACGAAAGATCTATTTTGAAACTTGCCTTTCGAGCGTGAGCGCAACGTCTCAGAACGGTGGTCTGGTGCTTGTATCTTTGTGCATGTGGCGAGAGACGTCGAAAAAGTTGGAAAGGGGGAAATGTTGTAAACGTCAAAAACAAATAAATACGAAGAGATTTCTCCTGCCCGGGAGAAGTAAAGCACAATTGAAAGGCGGTGGAATGAGGCAGAACCTTTTTCCACCGTTTTGAACATTTTTCTAGTGTTTCTAGCGACTATTCACTAAAAATCGTGTTTTGGTTTTGGTCAATATTCTCTTCTCAATGTTTCCTATATTGGTGTACTTGCTCTATCTTTGTGCGGCTGAATTTTCTGCTCATATTACTCCAGTTTTGTATTATGTTCATATTTTGAAAAAAAGTAACGAGTAATTAAAGTAATTCATTATCAACATTTTGTAACAAAATTACCTTACAAATTACTGGCGCAAAAAAAGTAGCCTGGCAAATACAAAATTACTTAAAAAAGTAAAAAAATTACTTTCTAGGTCTGATGCCCACTAAGCACTTAACCCCTAAGCGCACACTGGCCATTGCGGTTGTTACTCGAATGCACACAGCAGAAACCATAAGTCCGCTAGAGACAAAATCAATCGGTCACAATATATTTGGGTAGAAAATTACAACCCACAATTTTGAGGTTGTGTGTGACTGATAAGCATGGGCAGGTCTCCTGGCTTATCACACGAGATGGCGGCTAAGAAAAAAGTGTGATTACCTAGGTGTGAAAAGAACAGAATAAAAAGATGATGTAACACAACAGTTTAAATATCTGTGAATGCTGTACACGTTCCTCAAAGAAAGGAACAAAAGCTCGTTTCTCGTTCCTTATGAGTTTTAGAACGCGTTCCCGTTACAAGTTTCATATGTGAGAAAGGAACTCGTTCCCATTACCGTTGCAGAAATGGAACGTGTCGTTACATATGCGTTACATGAGTATTTTGGTGATTACCATATTTAGCTAGATCCAACAAAGTTATTTGTCTTCTTCTTTATCTATTCCATCAAATGGCAACATACGAATTCGAATGCCGTGATGAAGGACACCAGAAGAAGAAAGCAGGCGGAAGCAAGGTTTTATTTGATGAAATATTCTCCATAGAAATCTCAGCAGTTATCATAATCATGTTTGTGGTGTGCGATTCAGACGAGCCAAATGTACTGTTACCCCACATAGCACGAGCGTATTACAACAACCTCAGACGTTCCAGTCTAACAAAGCCCCTTGTTTGAACGTAGCAACAGTTTCTGCTCGTTGTTGCTGTCCGCAAGGAGAGCAAGTGAAGAAGAGGGTAGGGCGTCTGGAAGGTCAGTCTCAGAAATTAGAAGTCGCTTTTCATGGAGGAACTTCTAGTTTCTCGTTGTTCGTTGTTCAGTTTGAAGGCAGGAGACGAGAAGAGAAAGAATAAAGGATAATTTGTGGTTATCTTTTAAATAATCAATCTTCATGATACAAGGGTGCGTTCGATGTCTAGTCACTTGTTCCTTTGTTGTAACTGTAGGCCTCTTTGTGGAAGTTCTGTGAGGGCTGTAGTCGGCCTTACATTTCTGGGTCTATGAGGATTCGTGGCAGCAAAAAAAAAAGCAGCTTGGTTTGAAACGTCTTTCTTTGTGTTTCTTTTCCTTCGACTAAAAGTTTTGCTTTTTGTACCGGAACCTTGAGTACTGAAAAAGAATCAATGTCTGCTAGCTATCCTGCACCCGACCGTTACCAGCGAGAACCAAACAAACTAAACCCTGAGATAAGTTACAAAAACTTTGAACAGACCTTGATCTTCATAACGATATTGTTTTTATACTTTTAAAGTTTCCCTCTTAGAAATAAAATAAAGATAACCTCACAGGACGACAAAAAGGAACGCCGTTTCTTTTTACGTTCCAGTAAAAGTGTAATGAGTTCCCGTTCCAGTTCCACCAATGCGAAATGGAAAGGCGGCGTTCTTTCGTTCCTCCTATAAAGAACGCGTTCCAAGAACACCGTTCCGTAAAACACTGATATCAGCGCCTCTCGGCTTATTAGGTTGGCTTTAACTGAGTTTGGCCGCGTGTTCCCAAAGAATTGGATGCGTGCTCTTGTCGCTCTCACTAAATATTTATCGCCTTATCATGTGCCCCTCTGGCGGCAGGAAAAAAAAACCCTGTCTAGCCTTCAGCATTGACTGTATAATCGAATAGCTAAATACCAGCATTGTCGCATGAAGCATTGGCATTTCGTTTATTGGTTTGCACTTTAAAAAAAACGGGATCGAAAATTGAAGTGCGAAACATTGAAGGGACACTTATCAAGGATTAATGCGCATTCAGTGAGCTGGTTCTTGAAATATTGCTCCTGGGACGCGTGTTCAAGTGGAGAGCTAAGCGTAAGAATATGTTGGTGTTGATTCGAAATAAAAAAAAAATAAAATAAAAGGGTAAGTAAAGTAAAATAAAAAGGTAATACCAGAACAAATACACACTCATACACACACGCACACAAAGACTCGCACACTCGCACGCACGCACACACACACAGGCACACTAGCACACACACACACACACGTGGTCGCGAGCCTTGCAGTTGTTCAGAGAGGCGCCGAGGACATAGACGAGCAAGCTCGGTCGCCACTGTTTACTTGGCCACCTAAACCCGTGGCTAGTGAAGTTTGTGTTGACTGGCCGGTTGCGTGCCGTGGTATGCGGACTGCAAGTTCGTCCGCTTTTTTTACATAGGTTGCGATTATGCCAGAACGTCAGGCTCTTATTAGCTGATGAAAAAAAAAAAAATTGTGGGTAGACCTCAAGGCATCTATGGCATTGAGGTCTACCCACTATCCTTCCAATCATAACCCATCAGAACTCGGCGTCGCTCAGAAGTCACCGCAACCCCCTGCGCAAGGAACAGACGACTTGCTCTCCGCATAGAGCACGACAGGGGACGGACGTATCCACCTTCACGGCCGCACCACCGCCAGGGTCGCGGCGAGCGGCAGAACAAACAGTAGCGATGTCGCCAACGAGAAATTCAAATGACAAATAGGAGACACATCTTTAACATGGGTTGAAAACCCAAGTGCTATGCTTTGACCAGTCTTGGCCGCTGTCCTTTTACTGGAATACAAGGAGTTTCCCGAGCGCTATTCGATCGTACAACAAAATCGTATAAATAAAGCAATGAACTGAGCGGAATATAACAATTCACAGAGGTGTCTTTAGGTTCCGCATTTATTATACTCGAGTTTCGTTAGTGTAACTTTTAGGAAAATATTTGCGCCTAAAACTTCTGATACCTTCTATGCACAGGAAAGGAAACGCTAAAAACTGCCCGGTTGACGCTGCCATTCACAAATCACACGACATTCGAGACGTTGTACTACGGTTCTCTTTTCCTTCAACTCAGAAGTTTCTTTATTTTTCAGAACCACAAACAAGTGTGCTACTTTATGATAAACCAAAAACGTAAAAGCTCATTTCTAGATGAACACCCGAAATAAGACCCAGCGAATCCAAGCGTGTGTGGTACCATCTGTGAGTATACAACGTCACCCGGATAATATTTATCGTTTTTCCTTCTGTGCATAAGTAAAAAAAAACAGGCTGAGAAGTTTTACCTGATACCCACATTCGTGAAATTTTAGCCTAAAAAATGCGCCGTCTAAGAACACCTTCGAGAAAAGTTTCAATGCGCATTTTAACTTAATATATATATACGTTTTTTTTTTTTACTCCAGAGTAGCGCTCGGAAATACCCTGTATAGGGTGAGTCATCCCTGCAGTCACGTGCCCTCCATACCGTACTGTTGAGCACGTGCACAGTAATGTGGGCCGGGTCCGCGTACGACGGGGTGCACGAATAGTTGCCCGAGTCGCCCGTGGCAGCGTCGAGCACCTGGAGCCTGGACACGGTGGTCGAGGGCCTCCTCTCTGTCGCGACCCGGATGCCAGCCGTCCTCGCCGAGTCGTAGTTGATCATGTGGTCGTCGCGGTACCAGAACACATAGACCGGAGGCGCCCGGCAGTCCGTCACCACGCACGTCAGGTTGACGGTGTAGCCGCTCTGGATGTAGAGGTTCGATCCCTCTGGGATGCGCGCCTTGGCCACTGGTAAGTTTGGAACGGAGGCAGGCAGAAGAGGAAAGCATCAATCAGCGGCCAGTTTTAATTAGACGGCTATGATTTGCCTTTTTTGCTTATAGGTCTAATTTGTGATCGGAAAAGAACCCAGTAGACGATCTACCTCCAGCACGTGCTCTTTTTGTTCCACCGGAATCTGGCTGCGTATGGGACGAGGTGGGACAAAAGGCAGATGTCCCGCGCGGGGCCAAACATCTACTGGGTTTATTACGACTCACCGAATATAGCCCGGTTTTTTGTTTACAAACACAAGCCGGCTCTTGTGCCCCAAGAGACTTCTGGTCGATTCGTTTCGGCATGCCTTCCTAACCTGTTAATATCAAAGTTTCAGGCACGATAAAGTGTTACAGAAATCACGTATTTGGGAATATAGTGAGGCTCTAATGCTGTGATATTTAAAAAGGGAGGGCGATCGGTCGTCTTACAGTATTAACAAGAAATCTACAGAAAATATTTGGCTAACCAGTCCTTTAGCTAACCACCTGGAGAGCTGGTCATAAAATATTGCATGAATGTTACCAAAAGCGGTGCTGCAGTGGGAATCGTTTGTCCTCTCATTTGGCCGGAAATTAGCGAGGACGCAAATTGCCAACACCACATTCCTTTTTAAAAAAGAAAATAGAGGCCTATAGTCACATTATCAACGCGCTTATTATATGAACAAGGTCAAGTTATTCTTGTCCCAACTTGGTTACGTCAATTGGTGACATCAGTTAAACTTTTGCCGACCTGTTTTCCCTATGCTTGACGTCTAACTACGGTGTGTAATTTTTGCGGACATATAGCAATGAACAAAAAATTGTGATATTTCGTTTCTTTTACAGAAGCATTGCTTGACGTCAGGTTGATTGATTCATATTTAAGTAAGCACCAGTTTCTACTCTATAAATACGTTAATGTAGTGTTCCATTACAATGTTCATATCTGTATCACTGCTCGAAGAAAAGTTACCGACGTAAAACCGGAATGGCATATCTTTTTGTTCTCTACTGCAGGTAAATACCGCATCAATTCTGTCCATTTTATGTTTCGGTGAATAAATCAACCTAAACTTCTGTGTAAAAGCTTTAAAATAGCACAAGAGGTGGGGTCGTTTATCCCCGAATCGACCAAAAATCTACAGCTGCTGGCGGCCTCAGCACGAAGATGTAAAGTTCATATGCTTCACTCTAGTTAACAAAAGCGCAGGCAACAGCTCTTTACGGCAGAAGTAATCTAGATGGAATATGATAATGCGATTGCAATGTTTTACGTTGCTAACTGTGCCAAGACGTCAACAGAGTTAATTATTTCAAACAATAAGAAGCGTGTGCAAAAAAAAATATTGTCATCCAACGTTTTATTGGTTGGATGAGAGTTTTGATGCGAGCGGCCCTTATCTCCCTAGTCGGAGCAGATATATCCAAACCCTAATGACTACTGAGAAACAATATTTTCGCAATAAAATATTTATAGGAAAAAGATTAAAGTAGCCCCGCTAACCAGACCTTACACTTTCAGTAGAAAAGAAGGGAGAGATGGGTCATTAGAACCGGATAAATGATCACACGCTTTCGAAAAACCAGTGTGCTTTCAAAGCTTTACGGTACGATACTTGCAATAGGCTCTAAGCCAGCGCAAAGGGAAGGCAACATAAACTAGAAGAACCAAACAAGGATAAAACTCAAAATAGATAAAAGAAAAAAAAAAGTCTTCATGGACGAAAAGTGAGGTGCGTAAATAAATCTCATCCCTACGTCTCTCTTTTTTTTTTTTGGTTGGGGGGGGGGGGGGGTTCTGCATGTGCTGCTTTTTATCCTCGTGTGTTTTACGGCACTTGAGGGCGTGGTGAGTGACACGCCCTAAATCAGTCATAACGAGACTTCCGTTTTTGTTTTGTCTTTCTTTAATGTACCGGATAGCACTGAAAAAAGCGGAGTGCAGCTGGTCGTGAAAAAGAGTGCGGCACCTAGCTTCTATCACGGAATCGGGTACGTGTAGCGGTTGACCTGACAGAATTGAGTGAAGCGGGCATTCGGAACGATATCGGTTTTGATTTTTCTAGCGTTCCGATTAGAAGTTCACCCGTGAAAGATATGCACGTCTCTCGCAAATTGTGGGCGGCGCTAATTCATGTGGAACGTTGTGAGACTTTCGTTAATTATCAACAAAAGGCAAAAGTTTCGTTTTTTCGGCTTCAATATGAGGTTAAGGACACCGCTTTGCTATTTAGTAAAACTACTCAAAACTAAAGTGTAAGAAAAGAAGTGTTCGAGCCGAAGCAACAGGACACGGGAAAAAAACTTTGGCATAATTTTGCCTTCTTTTGAATTTTTCTTTTTTTGAGTATTTTTTACTGTGGTATTTTTATATTCAGAACCCAGACGAGAACAGCTCACGAATATTATGAGGCCTGAATACTGTAATAAATAAAAATAAATGAGCGCAAATCAATCAAAATTGCAAATGTACAATGCTAACTTAAAAAAAAAAGGAACGGTGCATTTATTGTAGAAAAGAATGAACAGACTCACAAACAAATCGTAAGAACTCTCTACCTTCCTAGCGCGCTCAAATTATTTCGATATAGCAACAGAGCCAGCGTGTGTTGTGGGTCGTAATATTATATAAAATAATAGATAAAATTGCATTTGTGTTTTGCTAACAGTTTTATTTGTATCAGTTTTTTTTTTTTTTTTTTGAGGGGCGTGGGGAATTAACATACACGAATCGGCTCTGGAATTGAAGATTGTTGCCGACAGTAATAAAACGACAAGGAGGTCATTTAATTGCCATGTGCCTTCAGCGTGGGAATTTCTATCGTCGATAACGGTTTGGCTGCCTGCGAGCCCCAAGCCTGCGCTCATAGCCAAAGTGCGTCCGAAGGCTTCGAGCTCGTGCTGGATGCCGTGCATGACCGAGGCCATGGCGAGCCCGAGTAGAAGGAACTCACCCACGACGGCGAGCGAGACGTTGAGGCTCATCTTGGGCTCGGTGGAGACCTGGCACTCGTAGACGCCGGCGTCCCCTTTCTGGGTGTAGCTCACCTCCAGGGTCCAGTCTTCGGAGCCCTCCAGATGGATCGAGTGGAACCTCTGGTCCGACGTGTACGTGTACGTGCCCACCGTCAGGATGTGCAGGTCGCGCTGGCGCACCCGCCACACCTGCACACAGGGGGACATAGATGATGGAAGCTCAAGTTATGCCTACCCCGCCTCAATGACGGAACCGCGAGACAAATAGGAAGGACAAAGCGAAGGTATCAACGCAGTGTTGTGTCTACTAATGCCTTTAATAACTTGTCTTCTTTAATTGCGATTGTTGAATGAAAACTCATAGAAGAAAATATGGTCGTCATTGTATGCCTGGACGCTCTCCGATTTCTTTCGCTTTTAGAATTTGTGTAAGAAAGCTGTTTGCTACCGTTTTTTTTTTTTTTTTTCTCTATACTTTAGATACAGTGCCTGAGTGCGTATTTTCAATACTTGATGCTTTTACTTATGCTCTTGTGTTTTTTTTAATGGTTATATTTGCATGTTAGATCGCCCCCCCCCCCCCCCATTTTAAATATGCAATTCCCTTCAGAAATGACGTTACATAAGAAATTAAAGCCCTTCATGGTTCTACCGTCAACACTTCCCACATGCAGATTACATTACCAGTCTATACGGAAATTTGCACCCAATCGATAGTGGTGTATGTCTTTACGTTTTGCATCGTTAGCTAGGTTTTTTATCGGGAATATTGCGTGCTAAATGTATTACATTGCTATTTTTCTAAATTTATCTGACGACGGCACGGTACGTTGGGGAGTCTTGACATTCCTTCTGTGAAAGTGCATTATACCTGCAAAAAAATTAATGAGCTAAATTACTGAAACAACCTTCACGCTTAAAAAGCAGATAACAGAATGGGTGGTATACCAGCTGCTCACAAACATAGCCCTTAACAGGAAGTTAGCTAGACTCAGATTACGACTTTGTGTGAATTACTTGACTTCAGCTAAACATACCATATTCAACACTATCAATACATTTCAACGATGGTAATATGAACGTAAGTGTTGCTCATCTTGTATCTTGGCAAATAAGAAATTAATGTGAATTGGCTAAATAGTCACAGCAAAAGGCAGTGCATATTTTAATCAGTCTTGCTTAATCCGCGGCGATCAATTTTCCCCACTACTCTTCCGGTTTCCTTCTTCCTAATCTGAGTAATTCTAAAGTGTGCTGCCTCATTAGAGTGACCACAAGTTCCGACAAACCCGTCAAATTTAGTAGTATTAACAAAAAAATTAACCTATCACTTCTTCGTGTTGCTATCTTCACATATATTTTATTTATACATTTGTCTTTAAGGTATCCGTCAGTGTCCACTAGCTTAAATTCAAGTAAGTCAATTACAGTTGGTACTTCATAAAACAAATAAGCGAAAATATTGAAGGCACAGTATGCCATTGCCAATAGCCCCTGAATAATAAAAAACATTCACTACTTTTTAAGTTTAGCTTAACATAGAGCAAACAGGCCAGTGATTAGAAAGCCTAAGAAAGATTAGAGCACCGAAATTGTTCAAAATTGTAAAGGATTAGAAGCAAATTTTGTGTCATCCGTATATTGTTTTTTTTTTTATACTTTTTATTATTTTTAAGCCGGAGGGTTAGCTTTTTTTATTGTTCGAATTTATGTGTAAAAATCAAATTAATATATAAACAGACAATAGAAAATCGGAAAGGTCACGCAGTCTCTCGTAAAGAAATTCTCTATAAAATCATTGAAAATCTAAATTAGTCAACGGCCCAAATATCTACATAAATGCATAAAAACATGCTTACACTTATGTTATCTCCTTCTCAAATCAGCCACCAACATGGTTCAAACAAGTCTAGTTGTAACATATACGAGTGCGACATACACAATTTAATAAACGACCGTCGGCGTCGAAGGACGTCGGCCGTCACTGCGCAAAAGCAACCTTTCGCCAATTCCACCACCCGTGCCTGTGCAACCGGCGCGCAAAGACAGCGCCCATATATCGAGCTCCACCTATATGCAGTCTGGTTAGTGCAAACTATCGGGTATAAACATGTGTGGGGACTATATCCAGAGATCCCCCCCTCCCCTGAACGTTCACATGACGGGGGAAGTTTGAGACAGTGTCGTCCTTAAAATCAAGGGCAAGTAATTGTTATTTTTGAGTTCAATAATTTTTAACAAATGTAAATAATGCTGAACCATAAGAAACACTATAAAAAATCATACTGCATCCAAGTGTGGTAATTTTTCTTTTGGTATTTCTATCTAACATATTCATCTTATTTTGCTGCGGTGCGAGAATATTATGATACCTTTCAGCGTTTGCCGAACTCGACAACAAATATAAAAAAATTAAAAGGAGGGCCCTGTTTGGCATGGTTGCATGTTAAAGTTTGCTTTCTGATTTGGAATCTTTATGTTCTATAACGATTCCCCCGTTTCGCTATTCCCATTGTTGTTCCGCACTAAACTTCTTTTTATATATTACAAAGAAGCGTTGCACGAAAAGTCTGACAATTCCACCCAGCCACTTTTTTTTTCATTAACACTTTCTCTCTGTTGCGTCTCCGGTTTCTACAGCCATAATAAGTGGCGACGAGCATTAAATCGTACAACAAATGCTTATTCCGACCGATCTATATCTTGTTATTTCATCGTTGCCTCCTTAATCATCCTCCAGAAATACACTACCGATAGTTTGCTCCTTAAAACGCAAACCCATTTTTTTGCGAGTTTTTTCTTTTTTTTTTAAATATATGGTCTTGGAAGGTATTTGCTGATGGCTTTAAACGTATATAACTAAGCTGGAGTGCGATTCACAGTAGGGTCAAGGCACTTGACTTGGAGACTACTCAAGAAACGTCATTATCCAAAATCCCCGGTCGCACCCTTACCACGTCATATGAAAGAAAGTCTGCGGAAAATATCTGGGACGTGCAGAAGGTCCTCACATAGGTCATACAAAAACTGTCTGCGGGCATGTTCCAAGTATGCAAACATATAAAGCAACCATGCATCGAACATGCTTCAGGTGTGTCCGCAGGTAATTTCATGATCATGTCTGCAGAGAAACTCCGTGTCTCTTGTACCATGTACGAGAAGTGTAACATGCGGCTTCACCCCGTCGTTATCCTGTAACGATGTTCCCTAGTAAACTTCTAATAGCTTCGTTGCATTCGTCCGCTTTAGCGCCATTTCGGAGTACGGTACAACTCACGTTTAAGTGCAGCGAAACCCGATATGGGGCATTAACCGAGCGGTGCCGCAGGAGTAGAAATCGGCCGTTATTGTTAATTATTTATATGACCCTGTGTATAGCTGCGACGGGGACTGAGCGGGCCGTCAATGTCCGACGACGTTTCTCCTCCTGTTCGCGTACGACCAAACACGACATGAGTGGGGTTATGTGCTTTGCGCTTGCCGCCTTCCACGCTCCAACTCTCAGCGACTCGTAATTTCCAACTCTGAGGAGCGGCGAGGGCAGATACCGCTCCCTTCCCTTTGTACGTTGTTGGAGTTATGGTTGCACGCTATCGGCCTATTCCGCTTTGTTTCGTGTTAATCTATGAATTTATGCGATGGAGGCGCGTTTATTGTTCAAGTTATTGTCCTTGTTGTTACTGTGGCTGTTGTTGACAATGATACAGCGTTTTATTCCATCGTTGATATGCGGCCACTTACTAGAATACTGATTGTCTTTTTTTCTTTCATTCGCGTTGTGTTATTTGCTTTGCGACTTAGCGGTAGTTGAGTCAATTCAGACAGAATGTGGATAGATTTGTCTCTTGCCTCGTGCGTAATGAGTTTGAATAACGATATTTATTAAGAAATGCAAGCGCGCTGTCGCTTCGAGACTGAGTTCAGCTCGGCGATATTTTAATAGTGTCACCAAACTGTAAAATCCAAGAAATGAACATTTCATCCAAAAGCTGTGTGCAGCAGTTGATGATCCCCATAAAAACTAGGGTAAACATATTTTGGTTCCACGCCAGGGGCTCTAGGCTCGTCAAAAACAAAATTGGAGCCTAATGTAGGCGAGCGCGCGCGCCTATCGGACTTCTGCGATAAAAGCGCTGCGTCATTGTCGCGAGAGTTCAACCGTCGCGCTTTGTAAGCCAAAGTCAAAGTCAAATTTGGTGGTTTTACGTGCCAAACCAACGAACAGCATCTGGCATGCCTCAGCAAAGGACTGAGGATTGATTTTGACAACCTTGGTATCTTTTTTTGACGTGCAGCCAAAAACCCCGTTACACGGCGCCTTCCCCGCAATTAGCCTCTGTCAAACTGTGGGCACCTCGACAAAGATTCAAACCCGCCACCTAAGGATCTGTGGGTTCACGCTTTGCCTCGGAGGCACCGAGGGAGCTTTGCGCGCTCCGTAAGCTTCGGCCCAAATATGTTGTGTTTCACAAGACTAGGGCCCCCAGATGCATACCCTGACATCATTGATTTGCAGTCGACGCTCGCTTGTCGCCGGTGTCCCTCCCCCGCCCCCCCTCTTCAGTAAGGAAAGTAAATACTTCCTTATTAGATGCGGAGCATCCCTTCCTCGGGTCTATGTCCCGCCGCGTCGTAGTCCGCACTCACACTACGCATGCGCTACTCTCCTCCTTCCCTCTCTCCAACAGCTGCGCGTTACTCTCTCCGCTCTCTCTCTCTACCAGCTGCGTGCACTTCACGTGCGTTCGCTTCTACTCACACCGCGCGCGCATGCGCAACTCTCCTCCTCTAGTCTCCTCTCCTTCAAGTGAGAATATAAGCAGCAGTAACGCGCTGCGCGCGTTCAGTTCCACCGCTGTTTACTGCACTTCACTCCGTTCTTCCGATGAAGTGTGATGGAAGCAACAGTCCCGTCACTTAGTGGGTTGGCGCAAGCAAGCGTCAGCACCACCCCACAAACTAACAGCAACGCTACGTCCACTGAAGACAAAGCTGCGCAGCGAAGGGCACGCGACGCTGAGCGCAAACGCTTGAAGCGAGCGGCAGACCCTGAACTACTGCAACGAGAAGCGGCGTCCATTCGTCAACGTCCAGTGGCGGATGCTGAACTACGACAACGTGAAGCAGCGGCGGTTCGAGAACGTCGAGCAGCAGAACCCGAGGTTCGGAACCTTGAAGTTCAACGTAAG